TTTATTTTGCTGATTAGGTTCTTTAATCATAGGGAGGGCTGTATTTGTTTATGTAGGGCTCTTGGAGACAGTAAAGATGTAACATCCCTCTAGAACAATATTGCCCAATAGAACTTTTTATGAGCATACAAATGTTCCATGTTACTCTTGAGCAATACAGTACCCACTAGTGACATGTGGCTATTGATTTCATGAAATGTGGCCATTGTGACTGAAGAACTTAATTTTTAATTTAATATAATTAATTGTAATTTAATTTAATTAGTCACATGTAGCTAGTGGCTACCGTGTTGGACAGCATAGCTTGTAGAAGTTTACAAGATAGTAGGACTCTACAGCAATACTGTTTCTCTACTCACAACACTTTTGACACCAAATGTATGGATTTTCCACACCAAGCAGTTCTCGAATTTGAGACACCAACTGGGTATATACAGTTTGTTGCAATTCTTCCAGTAATGACCTGAAGTTAAAACAGATCCTACAGGTTAAGACTCAGTTCCACAAGACTACCCCCAACTTCAGACACCAATTGTAAGTAGTAGATCTCCAGGCTACCCACAATTCTCTCTGACTTGGCTACAATAATTCCTCGGTGTCAATACTTTGTTACAGCAGCTCACAGAACTTGGGAGACACTTTACTTACTGTTACCAGTTTGTTTTAAAGGATATAAAACAAACACCAGATGAAGTGGTAGAAGGTGCAGAAGGTCCCAAGCACAAGAGCGTCTGTCCACATGGTATCTGGGGTGCACTACCCTCTTGGCATGCAAATGTGTTCACTGACCCAGAAGCCCTCCAGATACCATCATCTAGGGTTTTTATAGCAATCACATTATGTAGGCATGATTGATTAAATCACTGATTATTGGTGATTGACTCAATCACCAGCTTTTCCTTTCTCCATGTCCCCTGAAGTAAGGAGTGGGAGGGAGGAGCTGAAAGTTCCGACCCTCTGATCACTTGGTTGGTTCCTCTGGCAGTCAGTCTCCCATCTTGAAGCTATCTAGGGACCTATCAAGAGTCACATCATTAGCAAAAACTCAAGTATGGTTGAAAGAGACTTATATGAAAAAAAGACATTCTTTTTGTGCCTGTTGCTCAGGAAATTCAAAGGGTTCTTAGAGCCCTGTGCCCAGAACTAGGAAGGTAGACCAAATGTGTATTATGCCATTTCACAGGGAGATACACGCTAGTAAAAGTACAAAACAGGAAAAATAATTGAGTGACAACTACACTGATGTGGGAGTCCAGAGGAAGGAATTTTGGTGAGGGTTCAAAAAGTATAAAAAGATTTTTTAAGATGGTATTTTAAGGAAAAGAAGAATTTTTAAAGATAGAGAAGAAAACATGGTTCTATATAGTTTCGTAGTGAACTGAAACAAGGCAAGATTGCAACGACTTAGGTATTATCATCACTTGTTTCTCATATTCCTCTTTAAAAGAGAATTATTGCATTTACCTAAAGCTATATATCTTTCAATTCATTTTTTTTTGTTCCTATTTATCTCAGACTTCCAGGAATTAGCACAGTATTTGTCACATAATTGGCGTCAGTAAATGTTTGCCACGTTGAATTGAACAGGCCCTAAAGAAATGGGTGGATTTTTTGTCCCCAGAGTTTTTCTGTTGGATTATTTAGGTATTTACTTATTCTAAAATGGTAAAATTTTTTGTCTAGCTAGTAAATA